TATAAAATACAGTATAAATACTTGCAATTCAATCTCTTTAGAAGGACATGAATGAGCGTTCCAAGATTTGTCTCTTTCTTTTCTTGCTAATATCTCCCACCATTTTCTTAGCTCTCACACTGAATACTTAATTAGTGCTATTTCTGAAATAAGTGATACTGATGTACATACCTGAGACTTTGCGTATATTGTGATCTCAGCCTGAACTATTCCCTTTTTGCACCCTCCTTCCTGCCTGTTGACTTGGAAAACTTAATTGATTTCTCTCTCTCAGCCTTTGACTATACCTTGACCTTCTCTAGCCAAGTGTGGCTTCAGCAGGGGTTGCACCTCATTGTAAAGACAAAAAAAACCCCTCATCACTGGACAAATAAATAACATCATGATAAATAGAGAAAGGATTAAAGTTGTCAAAGACTTCAATTTGCTTGGATCCACCATCTACATCCATGAAAGCAGCAGTCAAGAAATCAAATGACATATTGCACTAGGCAAATATGGTACACAAGACCTCTCCAAATTTTTCAAGAGCAAAGATGTCAGTTTGAGGACTAAGATGTGCCTGACCTAAGCCATGACATTGTCAATAGCCTCATATGCATGTGGAAATTGGACAACAACTAATGAAGACCATTGAGAAATTGATGCATTTGAATTATGGTGTTGGAGAGGAATATTGAAATACCATGGATGCCAGAAGAACAAACAAAGCCGTGCTGGAAGAAGTGCAGCCAGAAGGGTCCTTAGAAGCTAGGATGGCCAGGCTTCATCTCTCATACTTCAGACATGTCAGGAGGGACTAGAGAAGGACAGTAAGCTTGGTAAAGTGGAGCAAAGAAGAGGAAGACATGAAAGGAGGTATTGGCACAGTGGCAATAGCAATGGACTCAAGTGTAACAATTGTGAGAATGGCGCAGGATTGAGCAGTGTTTGTTCTGTTGTACATAGGGTTGCTATGAGTCAGAACCAACTTGACAACACCTAACAACAACAAATGACCAAGTAGAGCACTTCACATATCATTAAAACTAGCTGCTGCACAGTTGATTCTGAATCACAGTGACCTTTTGTATGACAGAGTTAAACTGTGTTCCGAAGGGTTTTCATTGGCTGACATTTCAGAAATAGGTCACCAGACCTTCTTCCAAGGTTCTTAAGGATGAACGTGAACCACCAAACTTTTGATTAGAAGCTGAGTGTGTAATTGTTTGTACTATCCAGGTTCTCCTCACAAGCCATTATGATAGTCTATTTGCATATTCATATGTTTATTTCCATTTCTGTAGTATGGCAAAGAGCAGGTGCCTGACAAACTTTATTAGAAGAATAAATTAATGAATATATAATTAAAGTACATGCCAAATTTATACACACTTAGCTAGCTATTGTGTGTTTTTTTTGTTGTTGTTTTGTTTTTACTTTTTACTTTCTTGGTCAGCTTGGAAGTAGGCTTGAGTGAATGGGCATTGTATCACCGATGTTTCCTTTAAACTGCATCCAAAAACACAGGTAGAAATCAAATTGTTCATTCAGAGTTCTAAATATAAAAGTTATGACTCACAAATGATCTGACTTTGGGGTATATAAGTAGAGATTTCCTGGAGGCTGACACTATTAACAGTAAATATTTCTCATCAGATAAAGCAAAAACAAAAGCTTTAACATAAAAATATTTTCCTTCCAGTAAAGAGGAATCTTGGTTGTATGTAGTACAAGTTTCCCTTTAGCCGTATCTGTGTATTTTGAAATGAGAATTCAAAGGATGTATAACAGTGATCTAGAGAAGTGGTTTGAAAGAACATATTCTTGCCAGGAAATACTATCCTTGGCACTGTTTATTTTGCCCCCCCCCCCCCAAACATGCCCCAATACACAATCATTGCTAGGTGTGACACATTCAAGTGAACAGAAATTCTACATCTTTACTGTTTGTTTTTTCAAAAATCCTAGTCCGTTTGTCTTTTTTTCTACGCAGTTTGGCAACAAATAGATTTTCTATGAGCTTCAGAGAGCCATAGGGTGATTTATGAATAAACAGTAAATCTTCTGGGGAATCCCAAGTTTGGTGTGAAAAAATTGGAACTGGCATTAGGACAATCCTAGAAATGAACTGGATATTTTCTGTAACGCTTATCCTACTTCCTTTCCCACTCCCCTCCTTGTACTTTTAGAATTTGGCTTTGACTCAAGATTGTTTTGTAAGTCATAGGAGCTGAAGTAACTTTCAGAGAAACAGAGATGCCACTCCATGTTTCTCAGGCTATTTTGAGTAGCCCTCATTTCTTAAGTGAATAAACTATTACATATAAGAAAAAATGAACAAAGACCATTAACTAAGGAAAGGAACAAAAGGCTATTGCTAGAATTGAAAAGTATCTCTAGTCTAAGAGGTGAGCATCATATTTATACAAATGTTAAATAATTTTGAAGATGAAAAAAATATAACTTATCTTCAGTAACAGTTTTAGAATGGGGTTTGAAAGGCCCTCTTTGCTCCCTGAATTTCTTTGTATGCATTTTTAAGTGAATGTGTTCTTCGATAGGGGAGAACATATCCAGTGGTGACTAATAGATTGGGCTCTGGCGTTATATCATTGAATTCATATTTTAGCACCACCATTCACTACATGGATCTTTGGACAAGATGCTTCAGCTCTTTAAGGCTCAACTGCCTCATTTATAAAATAGGGATAGTAATAAAGTCCTCCTCCTATATTTGCTATTTGTGATTATGTGTATAGAAGCTTAGATCATAATAATAGGATATTAAATATTAAGCCACCAATCACATAATTTATGAAATAAACAATGCGACCTGTAGGCAGGGTGATAAATCAATAGTTAAATACCACTTACTATGTGCATGACATTGAGTGGGCTCCAAAGGAACATGAGCAAAGATTCCAGCTTTCAATGAAATTGAACATATATGAAATTTACGTATATACAAGAAACAGTGAATGAAGGACATAAAATAAGTGGTAGAAACAATGAAGGCTGTAAAAATTCAGAGGTTTTCAACTTTAATAATTATAATAAGGAGTTGGAATTTCCACTGAGTCTTGAAAGTTGGATAGGATTTTAATAGAAGGAGAAAGGTGTGACATATTGCTATAAGGAGAGCAACTTGAAAAACAAAACAGAGATGGGCAAACCTGAGCGTGAAGCATTTTAACAAGCCCAGTTTCAGCAAAACAGGGCTCATGTGGTTAAGTCAAGCTAATTTGGATAACTCAAATTGGAAAATGCATTAATTTCAAATCAAGAAATTTGAACCTTATTGCATAGGACATGGGGTGCAATGAAGACTGTAGAGTAAGGAATGACAAGCTTAAAGTGGCTTTTTATTAAAATTAAACATGTAGGTTTGCATTTTGTATTAAATGGATTATATATCTACCAGTTAGTAGATATTACCAAAGTTAATATTAAAAATATTTAGCAATCCATTAACTGGGGCTTTCAGAATGGATCACAGTCCTGGATTTCAACATTAACTGCCTATTATGGTCTCTACTTCGATGGCTAAAATACATCTCCTTCTTGACTTGTCTAAAACCTATTTGCCCACAAATCTCATCTTCTTTATTTACTTTATTCTCCAGACCTAAATGTTTGGAGTCATCCTTGTCTCCATTTTTTCCCTCATAGCCTCCGT